GGCGGGCAACACAGCCCAGTCCCATTCCAGTCCTTGAGCTCACGAGCGATGATGTCCAGCTTGAATATGTCCAGCTCCTGATCAGTTCAGCACCTTCGGCTTCGAAAACCCATCTCGCTTTGTGGCCCAGGATGGTTCTGTGCCGTACAAGAAGGAATCACCTTCATTGCGCGAATCCGTTTGACATCATAGCGGTGGTCTGGATGTTGTAGCTCTCTTGGCTGCCCACAGATACTGTGATGCAGTGATCATATGATGAAAGCTGTGCTGGAAGCTTTCGCGGTTGGATGGCTTGCTCAGACTCTAGCTCAGGCGAGTTCCCCCTGCTCTCATGATGCACTATACTGTTTGTTCGAAGGGTGAATGTATGTGACTGTATATTTTGCCCTTTGGTTGTCTGTCTGTCCTTGTACTTGACGGCCATGAGCCGCTCCTTCTCCAACGCTGCCTCGCGCTCCTGATGGCTTTGCTTGCTCTCTCCATGCTGGCAAAGTTGCTGCATGGCAGTGACGGGCACAAGCTCCTTCTCTTTGAGGTCCAAGGCCCTTTCCTCGGCGGTAGGATGAGGTGCAGGTGTCGCATCGTCACCGCCCTGCCCTAGCCATGCTACAGGCAGCCTGGCTTCTAGCTCGGCGAGGCGGCTGCTGGTGGAGTTATAGATCCTCTGCAGGCCTCCGGGGAACACGTGACATGGCCATGGCACCTTGGAATGCCCGTAATGAGATCCGGACCAATGCCATACTTGCCGGTGTCGGGCACCCCCCCCCCCCCAATGGTATCCCCCCCACCCCCTGAGCACTGCTGCTGCACACACACCCGCCCTGCCCGCCCCTGCTCGCGCCCGGCCCGCACCTTGCCCGCCCTTGACCTTGTGCGCGGATCGGAAGTGTCGCACTATGCCCCGCCGTGTGCGGAAAGCGGCAATCGGCGCAGTAGTTTCCAGCATCTGACATGAATTGCAATGCTGAATTTTGAGGGTTGTACGGCGATGGTGATGGTGGCAGATATTCTTTTGAAGGTATTAATGTATTAATGATGAAGATAACGACGACAAGGATGATGTTGAGCATAGTCTGATTGTCGACTCATGTCCCGGTCTAGAGCAGCACAACATCATGAGCAGTATCACCGGTGCCACAGCAAGAGGGCAGACAAGGAGTAACACATAAGAACATCAAAAAGAGTACCACCACAGGCCCCACACCACAGGGGGGGGAGGATACCATGGGGTGGGGGGGAGAGGGGGGGTGTGGCAGCCCTGCATCATGTATACTGGAGACACCACTTCATTCCTTTAGCCGGGGACTGAATTGGCCCCTTGTGGAGGCATTCCAGTCGTGTACATCCCAACTCCCAACACTGCACCGTTACGTTACGCTGTCGCCAGAAGTTCGTATTTCTATCCCTGTATCTGTCGAACTCGCCACTTGTCAACCTACCGGCAGTTTGGAACATCTTCACTAGTTAGTACTACGAGTACTTACAAAAAAACAAGTGGACAACACAGAAGCGGGAGTGACGATGCTGAGGACGACCAACACAACAAACCAGCATATGTTTTGCCGTAGTGCGATCGCGAGCGAGGGTTCTGCCAATCATCTTTCTTCTTCCGAAAAGTTAGAAGCTATCCCGTCATCGCAAAGCTGCTCCTATCGTGGATGCTGTGATATCTGATGGTCACGATAAATGTCCTGTGTATACTGTGATCATGGCTTTCGACTCTGATTGCAGAAACCAGGCTCCATCCTAAGTTAAACGAATCCTTGAAACCCCGAAGACCAGGTCCCTGAAACCCATAAGTCCAAATGAAACTAGGCTCAACAACCCCGTAGCCAGAAACCGTGCAACTTGCAAGCCTCGATTATGGTCCTTATACTTGCCGTGCAATGTGGCTTCGAGAGAAGGTTGGCTGAGAGCGTCGCGTTTGAGCTCTTCGGAGTCAGCTTTCCACTTCCTTACCGCCTAGCAGAGGAGCGGCAATCCAAGGGGTAAGCATTCTGCAGGAGCGCCGCAATCTTGCGCAAACACAACCTGTTTGTGTGTCTAGACATCTATATTCATATACTTATGTATAAGCATATATGTATATGTATATGTATATACACATACACATGTAAACGTACCTATACTTCTTCCACTTCTACTCCTACTTGTATTTCGACTTCGACATCTACTTCTAAATCTACTCCTACTTCTTGTTACTACTACTACTACTACTACTACTACTACTACTACTACTACTACTACTCCTGCTGCTGCTGCTGCTACTACTACTACTACTACTGCTACTACTACTACTGCTACTACTACTACTACTACTACTACTACTACTACTACTACTACTACTACCTACTACTACTACTACTACTACTACTACTACTACTACTACTACTACTACTACTACTACTACTACTACTACTACTACTACTACTACTACTACTACTACTACTACTACTACTACTACTACTACTACTACTACTACTACTACTACTACTACTACTACTACTACTACTACTACTACTACCTACTACTACCTACTACTACCTACTACTACTACTACTACTACTACTACTACTACTACTACTACTACTACTACTACTACTACTACTACTACTACTACCTCCTACTACCTACTGCTACCTACTACTACCTACTACTACCTACTACTACCTACTACTACCTACTACTACCTACTACTACCTACTACTACCTACTACTACTACTACTACTACCACTACTACTACTACCACTACTACTACTACCACCTACTACTACTACCACCTAATAACAACTACTACTAGTACTACTACTACTACTACTACTACTACTACTACTACTACTGCTGCTACTGCTACTGCTACTGCTACTACTACTGTGGCCGCTCTGGTGCGACACCACCAGGTCCCAGCATGTGCACGGGTTGCTTAAGCATCTTTGGCATCGAATCCGCACTACACCTGATACACCGATTTCCCTCAAAGGTGATCTCCTTTGGTCTGCTGTCGCGGGGGGAATACCATCCACGGCACAGGCCCCACACTTGCGTGCACAACTCCAATACCTGCTACAACAACTTGCACCTGGTGATACGTCAGGTCCGTGGGAATGGTGTACAACAGGGGACACTGCTGCACCTGCTTCCGAGCAGGCCGACTTGACGATTCCCATGCCAATGAACCTGCCCTTGCAGCCTGCTCCTACCGCAGGTGGCTTATGGGGATGGGGAGACTCTGCATTCAGGCCGAGGCTTCGAACTGCACCGTCCACCTTGTATATGTACGTGCATAACCATCGTGCAGGCTTTACACTGGTCACTGGACCACACACTTCATGCACGTGGTTAGCTGCTGCTGAGGAGGCCTGTCCGCTCACCATTGAGCCTGATGCCGGCCCCCCGTACCAATGCCTGTATGAGGTACGCTCAATCGTCCTGCATCGGCTATCCGGGGACCCATGCAGCTACCACGCAGTGCATCGAAAACTGTGCGACGATATGCTGACACCCTTTGCACCAGCATTGACCGAAGCTGACCTGCGTGATATGTGGCCATGCATCTTTGTGCTACGACGACGCTCTGGCCAGGTACCTACTGGCTGATTGACTGTGGTGACTCCCTTTAGTTAACGTTTTCCAGCATGTGCAATCGACACTTGGTGTAGTTGCATCTGGCAGTTGCTGCGGCCCATGGGCACAGCATCGAGCTCCCTGGAGAGCTCCGGCATAAGACCGTGCTTCTCGCTAGGTGGATTGCGTCCGCTGCGTGGGGAATGAAATACTGCTACTGCTACTGCTACTGCTACTGCTACTGCTACTTCTACTGCTACTACTACTAATACTACCACTACTACTACTACTACTACTACTACTACTACTACTACTACTCCTGCTACTACTATCTGTACTACTACTACTACTACTACTACTACTACTACTACTACTACTACTACTGCTACTGCTACTGCTACTGCTACTGCTACTGCTACTGCTACTGCTACTGCTACTGCTACTGCTACTGCTACTGCTACTGCTACTGCTACCACTACTTCTAGATCCACGACCACGACCACGACCACGACTACTACTACTACTACAACTACAACTACTACTACTACTACTACTTCTTCTACTACTGCTACTTCTACTTCCACTACCACTAGCACTACTACTACTACTACTACGACGACGACTACTACTACTACTACTACGACTCCTGCTACTTCTACTACTACTACTACAACTACTACTCCTGCTACTACTACTTCTACGACTACAAGTACTAGTACCAGTAGTGGCAGTAGTACTCGTACTAGTACTTATACTAGTACTAGTACTAACGACGCCTACGACTGCAAGTGCGACTAAGACTGTGACGACGACGACGATTACTGCTACTATTACTGGTGCTGATACTGCCGCTCCTCCTACTGCTACTACCGCTACTCCTCCTGCTCCACGTGCTCCTCCTGCTGCTCCTTCCTACTATTTCCACGCCCACTACGACTAGGACTGCGAAAGCAACCGCTGATGACTTGTGCCATATCTGACGACTGTCTACTACCTACAACCACTTACGTACTACCACTACTCACTACTAGTAGTACCACAAGTACGACTGATACTACTAGCACCACTGTACTACTAGTACTGCTACTACTGCTGCTGCTGCTACTGCTGCTGCTCCGGCTACGCTGCTGCTCCTACTCCTGCTCCTGCTTTTACTGTTATTGCTATTGCTGATGCTACAATGACTTCATACTCCTGCTGCTGCTGCGACGACGACGACGTGTAGCAACCACTGCGTTGGAAACCCCATAGCCTCAATCCTTAAGAGTAATGTATAGGGAATCCCAGCACCATTTGGCCTTAATTCGGTTTCCAACTTTATGGGGTTTACTTTACATACTGCTTAGTTGCAGTGAAACCAACATGAATGTGCCAACGACACAGGTCCATGCGAAGGCTGTCATGACGCTTCGTGGAGACAAGCAAGGTATTCAGCAATACAGTCTTTCGTGCTTTATGTGTGTATAACGCGTTATATACACATATTTGTAGATACATATGTAGCTGCATGGCAGTTGAATACTCATAATAATACGAGCATCATTGCTCATCATCCATAATTTGCATGGAATGCACGGTCCGGAGCTGGTTCTCATTTGTAGACATCGTAAACTGGTATGTATGCCGCTGTATGGGATCGCAAACGCGCATGCAACCTACACATACAGGAACAGGATCCTAATCGTAGTTCTCCACGAAAGCAGATCGATCAGGTGCAAGCCCTCTGTAAGATGAACACAACAAGCTCACTACAACCGATCGCCGCGTAGTTACGTATAAGCTGAGAGAGTACTCAAGGCTTGAGCCGAGCCACACTCACGTCGCCCAACTGTTCGAACTCCTTGAGCCGAGCTTTCAGATCTTCGATCTCCTCTTCCTTGCAGGTACATGGAAAGATCCGAGAAGCCAAGAATGTGAGCCAAATTAAAGCAGCCCATGCGGTCAAACAGTAAAACCACCCAAGCACAGATCCACAAACAGCATTGACAATAGTCGATAGTCGTGGCGGGCGGGGACACTGATGCTGCATGGAGGAGTTTAGTGGCCCCATCCGATCCGCTTTCGGTCCTCTGCAACAGATGACAGCTATCAAAAATATGCACTGCAGAATAGCATGGTAGGCACTTGAACCAAGGCACTGAGCTCAAAATGCTCATGTTGAGAATTCAACATTGTCGGCATTTTGATGCAGTACAAATCGTGGCAATTGCGAGAAACATTTAAACGTGGCAAACGAAAAAATCGCAGAAGGCCCTAGTGAGGCAAATGGCCGCCCCGTGATGTTGCAAGCTGCAAGGTCAGTTTTAAGTCCACTCACCAGACAAGACAATAGAGCCGCAGCCCTCCGCCCCGGAAACTGCCGATGCTGTTAAACTCTTAGACTTGAAACGTCCCCAAAGGTTTCCCCGCCTTCTTGAGGAGGCGACTCTCGAGGCGGGCCATGTCCTTCAGCTTAGGGGTTCGGTTGGAGGTTAGGGTCTTGTGCCGAGGATTCTGCGAATCTCTCTGTGTCCAATCTCCTTACGCTTGAAGTCTTGAAGCCCACTTACGGTAGAGTGTAGAGCCCGCATGCCTTCAAAACGAAGATGTGCTTACAGCCAAGGCTTTTAATTCCTCAGATACGGCGCTGCTATCTAACTTCATGTCAAAATATATTGACCTCGGGAACATGGACATTGCGGAGTACGATTAGTGCAAGCGTGGATTACACTACACTTCTGTCTTGATCGAAGCAAGCTGCAGCGTCACGTTGAGCCAGCCTTTCTCCAGCTCTCGCTTCCTCGGCTGAGAGGGTGGATCCAGCCTAGTGCTTAACATGTAGGCCATAGCGGGACAGTTCTCGAAAACACTCTCATGACGAAAGACGCTGTGCAACAGTGCATAGTCATACCCGAAACCCGGACACCGCATCTCGACAGATGCCAGGAAGCACAACCAGTACCGAGCCCCAATTCCAGAACTCGCTGCGAGGGAAGCAGGAATCGCCAGCAGCTTAAGGTGAGCCGGAACGATAGGACTGAAGCTGCCATTGTTGCTCTCTGTGTTGCCGGATTTCTGTGACCCTTCTCTATGGCGCAGTCCTCCCTTGCCCTTGGGTACTAAACAGAACCCGATTGAAGAAGCACGGGCCGGGCTAAGGGATGATTGCATCGCCAAGCGGGGGAGGTGGTGACAGGGTTAGCCTGGACGGCTAGGCGGCTAGTGTCAGTGTGTCCCCGAAGACTGCAGCTGCGGTTCCTTCACGGCCTTGAGTTCCTGCTCCATGTCCTTCGCATGGAAAAACGGCGGATGCGCGCAGCGGTTGAAGGGTTCAGGGTTGCGGGTGAGCTCAGCTCTTGCGCTGGTGTCTGCTTTATGGGCGACTTCAGCACCGCGGAGAGAAAGAGGCTCCCTTGAAAGAAACCCAGAAACCCGGGCCCTCAATCCTCAGCACCTAGACCCTCCGAGAAAGGAGAATCGGCTAAACCCTTGAAAGCCACTTGCTTGCGAGTCTCAACGAGATCTGGGTCGAAAAACTAATGCTAACGTGTTCATCTGCTTGCATGCTAAGGGTCGTAATGCCCTGCCGATGGGCAGAAAGCTGCTACTAAGTTTTGTACATCTAGTTGACAACAATGACAAGACGCCTTACACGATTCAAAGCTTAGAGAGGCATCTCCTCTCATAGCACTGTGCAAAACAAACGTGGAGCCAGGGCAAAACAAGAGATACAAACGTTGCAGTAGCAACAGCCCACATTCGCAGCAGCAGGGAGTGGGTTATGGCTGCCGTATGAACAAAGGTCCCATCGCCATCATAAATACTACCATCACCATCATCATGGCTGTCGTCTTCAACATCAGCATCCTTATTATCATCTTCATCTTCAGCACCTGCATCATCCCAGTCATCATCGCCACCACGACCACGTCGACAGTTCAACTCGTCGGAATTGCCCACCCTCAGCATCCTCAACTATCTGCCTGTGTTCACAATCATACCCGTCATCATCGCTACTACGACCACGACGACAATTCAACAAGGTCGGTATGGCTCGTTGTACCGCAACAGCACCTTTAGAATCCGGCTTTGTTCTTGCCATTTTTGTTCCTGGCAAAGGTTTGCGCTAACCCCGGTCCTTGTACTTTGCAAGGAAATCTCGCATTGACGGCACACTGTCGAAGAGGTAGCCTACGATCATTTCAGGACTGCATGCTCTTTGAGTTACAAGGTGGTTCGCTCACAGTCCTTCACTCTGCGGACTCTCTCACAACGCATAGCCCCGGGCATCTTTTTTGAACATAAAGATGCGAAGCCAACAGCACCCGAAGCCGTTCTGCTTGTCTGCTGGATGATATGCAGAATTCTTGAGTCCTTGAAGCTGCCTGAGACATTCGTGACAGACGTGTCAGCCCACAAAGCGAAACGGGGTAACCGGCAGAAAGAGGCTTCAGCGCTCCTCATACTCAGTCAGATAAACGAAAGAGCGACGGCTTAGTTGCAGAACTGCTCCAAGCCTAGGCCGTACTTGTCGAACTCAGCGCGAATCCGATGATGATTTCGCAGAAAGGCCTTGTGACTGGGGTTGAGAACTCTGGCATGCATCTTGCGATGGCTCCAGCGCCAGCTGGCCATGACTTGCTCAGATCGTAATACAGAAAGCCAAACAACTGTGTCCTTCTTGGACCGCCCAATTCATTGCTGTTCAATGCTGAAGAGAAGCCTACTCCTTCTAGCGCCCTTTGCCACGGGGCTTTATGGACCTCTCGAGAGTGCTTTCGGCATGGAAACATCTTCAATCTTCACTTCAGCCCTTACTCGCTAAACAAACACCAACACATTCCGGATCACTCAGCTGTGCCAGCAAGCGTATTTGCACAGGCTTCCCCTTCTAAACTCTGGGGCTGATTGAGGGTTGATGGTTTGAACCAACACAGTTCTTCGGGTTTTGTTGGCCCTGCCAGATTCTCCAGTGACTGGCGGGTGTGAATACATACATGGGCTCTGCAGCCAAAACACTGAGCGTGCTTGCCATGCGACAGAACCCCAAACTCCCAAACATTTGTGTGCGAGATTAGGATGTCATTCTTTCCGAAACCGATACCTGCTCCCCAAGCCCCGCACGACTCAATTACCAAGACCTTGGACCTAAGCCGTCAGCTGAAAATGTTTCAACAGCCAATCTGACAGCATGGATTCATCGCGGATGACATATGTACTTACTTCATGCAAAACTTGAGGGGTTTCTTGACAAAGGAGCTTCAAGAGGCCGTGGAGAGCTTGAGGAACAACACTGAGTTTGAGAGAGAGTTAAATCGAATGAACAAGACTTATTGCTGCTCATGGTTACCCCTCCTGCGTCTGGAACCATTGGTGTGCTTTGAATCTAGATCACGGGAAAACGGAATGCACGAAACCTAGCTTCAATCCAGGTTCGGTGTCCCGCCAGTCCCGGAAACCAAATGGATCTGCCGACAATGATCCCCACCATGTGCAAAAATCTGACGCAGTACTTCCAAAGTGTCGGCCCGATTGGGAAAAAGAAACCAAGAAGTTCAAAGGACACCACTGGTGCGTTTAACAGTCGTGCTCCTGAGACCAATGGGATACGCGCACCCTTGCGAAACTCTCCCTGCTTATTCTCCAAACAACACATGTTTTGCTGGAACTGTTTACGTCGCGAGAGTTTCGGATGATATTCCCAGAGGGAAGCCCACACATGCAATTACTTGACTAGGCAGACGAAAGCTCATCTCCCTGATTTAAGAAAGCAACCGAGACAGTTCAACGTCTCACACCGGCTTGGCTCTCCGTCGTCCCCTGAGCTTTACCTGCCTTGAGAGCATACTCGGGATCTTCGAAAAGTTCCTCCATGTCGTATTCCCGGAAGGCGGACTGCCTCGGTGCATGGCAAGACTGTGTAGCATGTGCCGCCCGAGGGGGAGTAGCAAGACTAGCATGCGACTGATGAAGATGCGGGAAGCCAGAGCAAAGCCAAAGGAAGAACGGAACTGCCTTCCTGTCGAAGGAATGCTTTGTAGGTGCTGTATGCTCGAAAAAGGCGAACGTGCTCATTTGGCTGATGATTAGGAAGCTGCTGGGTCTCGCACAGCGCTCTGTAAGCAGAGAGGATTTCTGCCAGCAGGGACGGATCCTTTTCGGCATCTTTCAAACCTTGCCAGATCAGGTCAGGCATGCAACTACACCAGCTACAGTAGATGCACCAGACTATGCAATTCCCACAAGCTGCCCTCGCAGTGGCACCCCAGCCCGCGCATTAAACGGTCACACTGTCAATGCCTGCAAGTTTCAAGTGCCCTTACGGTTCGAACCAACTTCGAACTAGATGAAGCCCTTCTGCCCGACGCAGAGCCAACTGTGCTACTACATTTTGCATGGAGCATGCGTGGACGAGACTGTTCGCACATGACTTTACGTGTAAGTCGCAACTTGGGGGATACATATGAAGCCATGTTGCACGATTTTTCTGTATCTTGCGCTCTTCCGGCCTACACACAAATCCCAATATAGTCAAAAGTTCCAAGAAATACGTGTCAATACCGCATGCTTTCAAGAGCAAATCATGGCTGCAGAGACGTTTGTAGAGAGAGAGAGAGAGAGAGAGAAAAAAAAAAAAAAAAAAACAACAATGCATGTGGTCTGGGGGCAGGAGGTGGGGGGGTGGGTGGGGTCGTTGCCAAAATTTGTATGTGGAGCCTGAGACAGCGGTCGCAAACAGCAACTTTCCCCCCAAGATCCCTTCAAATGTCACCAGCAGCAGATGCACCCAACCCTAAAACCTAAACCTTAAACCCTAGTACCCTAAACCCTACAACCTAAAACCCTAAACCCCAGTTGAAGGAATCGGAGTCGAAAGAGTTCTGGTTGACAGAAACGCCCAAAGTTGATGAAGAAGGCTTCGAGCCTGAGACAGCCACCACCACCAAAAACCAGACAAAATAGGGCTCTATGTTCCAAGATGCCATGTGTCTCGAGAGTGCTCATCAAGGACTTGATCAGCCGCAACAGACGGCCAAGCTCTGGTGGGTCGTTTAGCAGGTGCTCCATCCCTGAAGGGGCTTGAGAGCTCGCGACTCACTTATGCTGCTGCAACGATGTTAGGCGGCACAGGAAGAAGGAGCATCGCTGAAATTGCTACACTGCTACACTCGTTGGCATCTGACGCCAAAATTATCCCGTTAACCTGGCTTTCCAACTATGATTTGAACATCGTCCCTGAGGTCCTGAATCGACATTTAGCTACATACATGTAGGGTGCAAGTCAACTGTCCTACGACCTCTTGGTCTTGACTCGAGTTAAGCTCTTGGAACTGCTCGTGCTCGTTGACCTGTTTCACCGGCATCCGAGCAAAAAGCCTCTTGAAGCTTTTAGACGCTACAGCTGCCTTCATCCCGAAGAGCCCGTTCGAAGGCCGTCGTGCGAGACAGGTAAGCGCGGAGCGCTGGGAAGGACTCGCGAGGAGGACTTTGTTTCGCCTGCCCATCTGTCAATGATCCCTTCTAAGGCATCCAACCCGAGTTTCGACTGTTTGGCTGTCTGTGGTAGCCTGTGAACCTGACATCAGTTCCGAAATGAGCTCTGATTGTTGACATCTTCTGTGCGGAGGCCGCAATACCAACCGGAAAAGTACCTTATCGAGATGCATCCGTCTCTGAAGTATGCAGCTGACGTCTTGCTTGTGTGAGATGGCCTGGAAATCCCCCTAAGGTACGTGCCAATCGAAGGATATTGAGGCTCCTTACTCGAGAGTGATAGTGATACGTTGGAAAAAATTTCCCATGTTGTAGTGAACTCAAGTGCCGCCCAGATTCGGCATGCGCGCATGCACATTGGCGCAATCCATGGGGCTTTGCAATGTTTCAACCCTAAGCCCAAGCCAAATAGTTCGATTATGAAACAAGTCTCGTCAGAGGTCTAGAGTCTAGCAACTGGAAGTAGTTGCACTTATGTGCAGTTGCACTAAGCTGCAGCGAACCAGGGTCCTGGATATTTGCCATGACACCGATAGTTGTGAAGCTCGCGCCCTGCATCCCAAACCCTCCAGCCGTCCTTGCTGCTCTCCGCCGAAGGCTTTTGAAGTTTGGCTTCCTTCGTGATGGATTTCGTTTCCTTCCCTCCTCGCGCAACAGGGTACTGAATGGCGCACTACCTTCCTTAAGTCTACTCGGCTGACAGCTTGAAGGGCTGGGGATTACCCGATTCTTAGACCGCCAAGCTCCAAGCCTATCTATCTCTGTCGAAGCAGAGAATTTGTCGCTTTTGCCAAATTGTTGCAGGGATCATGCCGCTTGTTGCGCCTGCGTCCTCTTCCGCCTCGTCTTCGTCAGGCTCCTCTTCCTCGGCCTCCTCGTCCTCCTCGTCCACTTCGGCAGGCTCCTCATCAGCCTCGTCTTCATCGTCGTCGTCTTCGAAGTCCGCATCCTCGCCTTCGCCACCGTCGGTAGTACTGGCTGCCTCGAACTCTACGAGCAGGTTACTTTGACCCGCTTCCTCGAAGACTTGTCGAAGCTTCGCCATAACCACTCGGTCATATTCGCCTTGATCGTAAACTCTGAGAAAATTGGCCGCTGCATGCGAGTCGTCCAGCAAATTCTCATACCCAGCATCCTGCGTGAAGACGGCTCTAGAAATCCCTTCCGGCCTTTCCCACAAAAAGAACACACTATCTTGGGATACACAGGAAGTGAGGCATGGACCCAAACATCCGGGTACCCCTCCGTCATATACACAAAGGCAGAAAGAGAGGGAGAGAGAGAGAGAGAGAGAGAGAGAGAGCGCGGAGAGAGAAAGAGAGAAGGAGGGCGGCACGTGCATGTAACTACTGAGTGCTACATGCTTCTACATGCAGAAAAGATGCCCTGGAAGCATGTATGTGTGCGTCTCTTTGAATATATGTCTATACACATGTATGCACGGTGGCTGTCGTTCGCGAAGAAGTGTTTCCTTGGGCGCCTACTGTTGCGGAACTTCCCCGGAGCTTCGGGATTGCATGCATGTGTGGGTGTGCATGCATCATATCTCTCTATCTCTATCTCTGTCACTACCGCTATCTACATCTGTTCATACAGACATACATACACACACACATACACACATACATACGCATCTTCTTCCAGACGCAGCGAGATGTCCGTACTCGCCTAGCTACAGGGCAAGGCTCAGATGGCCCCGGCGCTTCAGTGAGCGCGCACTTTTTGTGCCCCCCCCCTACAAGCATGCTCGGTCGCTAGCGACAGCGAGCAAGCAGGAACATCAATTGCACAGTGTAGTCCGATTTCCAGCGGCCACTGGCAGGCCTGAGTCAAGCACGCACCAAAGCAGATAGATGTGCGGCGTGAGCGAAGAGAGCTCAGTGCAGGAGAGAAGTTGAGCACCGCGATTGTCTTCAGTGATCCATGTTTTCTCCTTGCTTCGAAGCAGTGCTCGATAGTGCCCTCGCTCAACGCGCGGGCCGAAGTGCAGCGACGCAGCACAGACCTGGTATGGGCACCATCGCACGGTTATGTCCGCAGGCGAGCGAAAGACGGGTAGACGGATGACCTCTCGAATGTCTGGTAAGGCCTGCACATCCTTGACGATGTCACCCCCATCAGTCTGCCTAAAGCGGGAGAGATGCAGGCAGATAAGTTCCGGAGGATCACCAGTAATCGCCGATCGGTAGTGACCGGAGTGCCAAGCCTGTATGCAGTGCTGTAGTCCCCTGGTTCCCTCAGGGAGGGCCATGGTGATGGGTATAACCATGGTTGTGGTATCACACACGACAGCTCCAACATCTTCTTCCAGCCTGCGCTGTTGCCAGTACCCCTGAATGGCAGGAAGCCGTAACCTCGGCATGAGGTGGACAAGGAACTCATGCATGTCATGCTGGCGTCGTGGCTGGGACCACGACCCCAAAAGCATGGTCCAGGCCATGCAGCGTAACAAAAGCAGCTCAGAACGCGCCTCAAGAAATGAAAGGATTGGCTCAAGACCTCCCAGTTGGGGCACACTGGTATGAAGAGTAGACCACAGTAAGGCGAGGAGCGAGGCATTCATATAGCACGCTGTGGCATCAACGTTGTGCAAGCTGACCTGAAGGAGGCGTGGGCATCGGAAGGGTAAGGCAGGAGAAGAGGGTGGTGCTGGCGGAGAGACAACAGCAGCCCTGAGCCTCGCGCCGTCTGAGGAAGCACCATCAGAACCAAGCGGGCGGGTCGGACGGGCCCCTAGAAGGCGGGTGATTAATGGGACATGTTGCGGATGGTCTCCGCAAGGCCGGAGAGGCCTGGACGGTCCCTGCGGATGCGGGCTCCAAGAGGATGAAGAACACAGCATTGGTTGAATCTCAAGATGAGATCCCATAGTTGGTGGCCCTTCTCTCGAAGGCCCACTTCCAGGATAAACTCCACCCATTCCGACTGAGGCTCCGCCACCAGTGTCTTGGCTGATGCAAACCGTTTCACCGTGTCGCCATCCACCAACTCGATCATCCTTTCGATGTCCTGCAAGATCTCTGAGTGATCCCTGGGCGCCGGCTCCTCTAGAAGATCGAGCTGGGCCGTGTGTGGATTCCATTGCATGTAGCTCCACTGGTTGGTCGAGTTGATCCATTTGAGATCCAGAGCGGCCTGTTTCGAGTCGGCGCGGTTCATTGCCAGCTTGGCTCGGGTGGCCATCTCCCTCAGAAGGGCCACAAGAAGAGTTTCCCTCAACGACATGCCCAGTTTGGCAGGCTCCTCCCGATACAACTTGCCCCATTCGCGGGCAATTGCGAAGAGGGAGGGCAGGAAGGACTGGGCACCCGTTCTCAGATAGAGATGGAGCTTGGTGTCCCCCTGGAGATTCTGCAGCTGGAGCTCGTGTCGCAGGAGGAGCTTGGAGATCTGCATCACTAGGTCTCCCTGATAGCGGCTGCCGTTCGAGCCCCATCCTTGGTTCCATCCTTGGCTCCACTCGGACGAAGAACTGCTCCAGTCGCCTTGTTGGTGGCGGGGCGGAGGCTGCCCCTTTCCTTTGCCGCCTTTGCCCTTGCCCTTGTTTTTGCCCTTGCCCTTCGGGTGGTTGCCGGATCCTTGAGGCATTGACAGGTAGATCCCCGGGGCGGAAGCCGTCGAGCCTGATCCCTGGCTGGTGCCCTCCGGTGGATTTTCGTTCTCCCTGCGCCTCTTGGGCTGGGCCCCCGGCTCTCCAGATGGAGGAGCCGGTGCTGGTGTCTGGCCGTTCTCGTTGGTCAGAAACGCCGCGAACACCTGAAGTTCCTTGGGATCCTGCACGTTGGTGTCCATCGTCATGAGGGACAGAGAGGAGAGGCGACGGATCAGCCGAGGCAGAGGAGACCGGGACGGTACCGGCAGAGGCTTCGGAGTCTAATCGGTGTAAGTGCACAGACAGAAATCTCAGGATGAGTATGACATAGCATCGACGCCAATGTTGCTGCAGGTCAAACGTAGTTTCCTTACAGTATAAACATGGTTTGGTCATGGCTTTGCGCAAAACTCGAGCCTGATCAAGAGTGCGCGAGTACAGCTGAACCCACTCATCATGCGACTGCAGATGAACCTTGAGGCCTGAGGGCGTAGCAGCCCACTGGTGGCAGAGCGGGCAGTGATGTCGAATCCTCCGTCGAGTATTCCCATCATGCAACAGAGCTTGCCAGCCCTCCTGTCTAAGTCGCGAACAGAATTCCACATCCGTAATGAGCGGTGCCTCCGAGTCGGGACTACAAGGTACATCCATCGGCATAGGAGGAGGTAGCGGGGGCTGCTCACGTGTGGATTCCACCGGTGGAAGATCCCGGTCCAGAGCGGTAGAGGCACAAGGGCGGAGGTCATCCTGGCCATCTGGCGTGGTGGTAGTGACGGGTATGGGATCATGGAGAGGAGCAGGGGCTGCCGGGGCCCTGGGACCAGCGCACGGTATCGAAGGAGATTGGGACGGGTGTGTGCGCGAGGCTGGCACTTCAGCAGGCGCCGCACCTGCTCGGTCGGCGGACAGAGTGGATGCCTCCCCGCCGGGAAGAGGCACGGATGCCGCAACCTGGATGCTCCGGCCATCCGCAGGTCCTGAAGGCGTGGGTCTAGTGGAGGATCCCTCAAGATTGACATCAAGCCTCGGGCATTGTCCTGCATTAATATGCGTCCGGAGGGAAGTCCACCGGGGAAATGCCCGGCCGCATAGCCTACAGGTCGGCATGCCCTGTGTAGAATGGGTGGACCGACAGAACCGATTGGCGTCAAAGCGGTGACTGGCCTTTTGTCCATGCACCACTGAGAGATGAACGCGCAATAGCCTGAACGAAGCGGCCAGATAGCCACATTCGCGACATTGGTGAAAATCTCCTCCGTCCATGGTAATACCAGGGGTTGACGAGTCGGCGGGCTGAGATGAGGGCCCGGAAGCCGGCACAGAACCACAGTGGAGGGAGTCGAGAGTCTCCTTAAGCCAGGCCTCGCATATCAGCGTTGAGGGGGAGTACCCCGGAGTATCCTTGGAAGGTGCGGTGGAAGCTGGAGTCAAGACTTTGCCCACCGCTCGAGAAAGGATGTCGGCAACAAAGGGCACTCGGAGTCTGGCATGTAGCGCTGCCGTGGTCTCATGTGTGATGTGTGCCTGGGAGCGCGCGACTGCGCGGAGCTGTCGCGTGAGCAGGCGTTGCACCTCATGAAGGAGCTTGCCCGAGAGCGGCATGCAATCCAAGCCGCACAAGAGGATCGGGGGGATGCAGGCTCTCCACAGACGAAGGCGAAGTTGAAGAGCTGGTGCCTGTGCTCCGGTGAGGAGGGGACGCAAACGGGTCCAGGCTGCCCAAGCGAGCTGAGATCGATGCTGGACTGTGAGTCTGGCCGCACCTCCGTATGCAATAACAACTCCCAGGTAGGGGTGTTTATCCACAATCGGGATCGTGAATACCCTTTCACCCGGGGTACGTATCCTTAGGCGCAAACCCTCCTTGTCCTGGACGTAGCATCGACGCTTCCAGAGCCTGGCAAAGCTTTGCGGAATGGAGATCAGGGCTGCGGATTTGGCCGAGTTCACCTGGAGTCGTGCTTCAGTAAGGATGTCAAGCAGGTGCCCAATGCGAAGCATGGCCTGTTCAAGTTGGGCGCTCGTGTGAACGATCTGCCCCACATGGAGATCGTCTGCGAACGCATTGAGTACCTGCCTCAACCAATCTGTACTCGTGCGAGCCGCCAGCCTCCGGAACAGTAAGCCGGTACAGAGACTCCAGAGCAGTGGGGCTACTCTACAGCCCTGTTTAACTCCTCTTCGCGCGGATATCACAGCACAGGCGTCACCTTGTTGCAACCTGTACCCAATCCGGCGATAAAAGTCAAGTACTTGTCCACGGAGTTCCAGAGGGATCTGAGCATCAAGCATGGCGTCGTGAATTAAAACCCAACCTAATCTGTCAAACGCTTGCGTCAGGTCAAGTGACAGCTGTATTCCCCCCGCCTGGGGCGGGCGAGAGGTAGCAGAAAAGGATGAGCCGAGGCGTTTCCTTGCTTGAATGTCGTATTTCTGACGTTGCTGTGACTGGAAGACGTCCGAACAGTGTTTGAGGACTCGTCGTATGGCGTCTCCCGTTGTGCGCCCTGGCAGGTACGCCATTTGCGGAAGTGTGCCAATGTAGTCGCACACATAAGGCCGCAGAGCATCTTGAAGGTGCCCCGCTAGAGCCCGGCCTGAGGCTTCCGTGAGCCCTATAGGTCGCAGCTGCTTCGGAAGTGTGGGATTACGAACCTTGGGTAACAAGGACAGCCAGGAATCCACCCAAATTTGTGGATATTCCTGAAGAGCTCTCGCGTGATCACAAAGCCATCCCGAGAGGATATCCGAGCAGGCAACGAAGGCAGCGGATGGTGCCAGGTGTTTGGGAGCCGCCTTGTTGGGAGGGAGCAAGGCGAGACGGGCTTCCCATTCCTGCTGGCTCATGTCCGGTGCCTGAAAAAGGTGCGTGAGATGCACGTCAGCCTGGAGAGGGGGTTCATCCTCAGGTGCATATACATCCAGGTAAAAGTCCGTCAAGGCCCGAACTTGTTGGGAGTTAGTCCACAATTCACCCTGGGGTCCACGAAGCTGTAATTTGCGTCGCGGTTGCTTCGGCGCAAGGAAGGATGAAAGCTGAAACAGGGCCCGGACATCACCAGAGTAGGCAGCAGACTCCATGGCCACTACGTGGTCAAGGAACCAGGCCTTGCGAGCCTGGCGACTGCGCATGCGGAACTCACGATGAGCCTTTCGGAAGTGCGCATGTGCCTGCCATGTGCGAAACAGGGCCCCGACAGAGGAGCCAGTGCCCTGTCTCCACCGGGCATAAGCGGCCCACATGCCCTTAACACTCGAGCTCACCGCCTCACGTTGCCAGGGAACAAGAATGCCGTTCTGCTTCCGGGCAGCGAACAACCCGCGGACCTGCTCTCTCATGTGGAGATTGAGGTCCTCGACGGAGGCTGCAGGGTGGCACTGAACCCACTCCTGCATCGACGCGCGGAGCCGAATGATGCGCTCGTCTTGTGGGGATTTGCAGGCCTGGGCGAGGGCCCGGACGTCGATCCGAGGGGTGCTCGATCTGTGCCGTTGAAGTGCGCGAAACGGGGGCAGAGAGATGTGAGCCCCGACTGGCCTGTGCACACCGCCTTGCTTCCACGAGGCCAGGGGCCAGGCTAATGGCGCAGCTTGTCGCGCCAACTGGTCGGCCTGAAAACGGCGAACATAGATGTGGTCAATCAGGGAATGACCCGTGGGGCTCACAAAGCTGGCGACAGCGTGGCGCGTCCAGCTGTTGAGCATGACCAGATTATGATCCACAATAAGGGCCTCCAGCTGGGTACGATCAGCAACCGAAGGAGTCGAGAATCTAGAGACTCGGGAGCCCACGTGTGCGGCGGAACGAATTGGCGCCGTATTAAAATCCCCTGCCAGAAAGAGAAGATTGCGCCTTGGCGTGGCCCTAAGGATTGCTCCTAGAGTAGACCAGACCTGAAGTCGTTGCTCGCGCGGTGCAAGATCTTGATGTAGTTCCTTCCGACCAGCACCTGCCGCAAAAATCTTTTGGTAAACATTGACACTGTCAATGGTACAACTCGAGAGTGAAATGCGGGTATGGAGCACCCGCCCCGGTATCGGGGCCGTATGGGTGAGCTGGGTCGGGTGGCAGAGCTCATCGGAGACCATCGTAAGGACTCCTCCAGCAGCAGGGCTAGGGGTAGAAGAGGCTATGATGTGCCAGCCTGGTGTCGAGTATTCACTGTCGGATGGCCAGTGCGATTCCTGGATGTGTACGATTGCCGGCCTGATATCGTCTGGCATCCTCCGGAGCCACTGGAGGAGCTCGTGGTACGCAGGCGTACTTAGGCCTCCAGCATTATACGTCGCCACTCTGATTCGAGGGTACGCCGAGCCATGGGTGCCCGACTGTTGAGCTCGCAAGTGAGGCCGCGAGTCACTGGTGCGAGACGGGGTGGCACTTTGCCTCAGTGGCTGTTGCAGCTGATGCCATCGCCCTTTATACATGGTACCCTGGAAAGGACTAGCCTGAGCTCTGCGAAGAGCCCGGTTATATGCTCGTTTGACTGGGGCCGCGGGCGCGGCTTGATTCGGCTGGAAACATGCTGCAAAGCATATCCCCAAGAGGCAGCCTGGGCCGGGGCGCCCAGAGTGTGCATTGATGTTGTGGGGGTGGCGGCTTCGTGAAGCGGCACCATTCATGTAAGTCCCTAGCTTCTCCGGATGTGCATCACGAGGTGACTTCGCTGGAAGCCTACAGGGCACTGCACAACCGGATTCAGGACACTGCGGGGGGTGTCCAACCCTCGGCTCAAGGAGGCACGATCTGTGCGACATACTGTCTGAGCTCTGCACATAAAGGTGTCGAGCTGTAGTCAGCACGGGCTGTGCCTCCTCCCCGGAATTGGGACCGGGGAGCCAACGAGAATGCTGTAGATATAAATGCAGATTGTGAAAGTTCTGGTTAAGAACCAAGCGGGCCAAGAACATGCACTCAACGGGGGAAGAGAGCCATGGCAGGGGGCCTGTGTCTGTCTCACCACGCGGCTGCAGGGCCGCCTCTGCCGGTACAAGTCCCCCTTGCCGGCCCAGGAGCCAACAGAAGCACCGAGCTGCTTGCAATAAGTGCTGCACACCTATGCTAGCAGAGTACCTGAGCAGCTTGCTGACAGCACCTGTGCATGGGCAAGTCCATAAGTGCACGGGACGTCTTTTGATCCGACGCGGACGCCGGTACCGGCGGCGTCTGGATGCCATAGGGAACCTGTGTCTGGGCATACGCTGC